ACTTGAAATTGTCTTCACAGGGACTTCCATAGACGTTTTCAAAGCAACTACTGAGCGAAAGTGACAGTATTGTAATACGGGTAAAAGATATGCAAGATGATTGTGCTCCCGAAAAAAACCCCACTGGACGACATATCACCAAAGTATGGAATATCCGTTAACTTTGGAAATGTCTCACACGTGGTCAACATAAAACGATTTAAAGGCGAAGACCTTCATTAGGTTATCACTCATCGGAAAATATTCCGCAACAGCTATATAGGAAATATTTATAAAATGAGCAAACTCGATTCTGTTTTCAACGTTTTGAAATGAAGGCCATATAACGTTAAAACCACAGTGTAATCAGTCCTGATTGTTTATCGCCCGGAACAGGGAATGTGTGTTCGTGCGTTCGTGCGTGCGCGCGCGTGTGCGTGTTCGTGCATGGTGTGTGTATGTTCTTTCAACTTATCATTTTAAAGTCAGTTGTGACAAAGGCCCGCTTGAATACTGTCCGCTTGAAAGTTGAACATTGGAAAGGCTAAGTCATCCCTCCCGGCATAAAGTCCAGTGGACAACTGTGCCTTTTTGTTTTATCCACTTTTATTTTCTTAATTGATTTAAATAAATGTTTGTCGTCGTATAACCATATGCAATTCAGAGCTTTCACATTCAAGCAGTGACAATAATGCAAATCGATTTCCAAATGCATTGGTGTTTCGGTTTATCGTATATCCACTCATGTGTGTCACGGTGATAGCTATGGGTGGTAGTTGTTGTAGCCACAGATGGTATTTACATCAAACACCTTAACTTTCATTATGTGTGCCCGTATACTACGGGAACTATGAAGCCTTAGTCAAATTTAAAATCTGAAACGAAAAATGTACCAACTGTTTATATTTGTCGACACCAACCTTGATGTAATCTATAAACTGTTAAAACTGAATAATCAGTTATAAAAATATCAATTTTCACACCATACATACATTTGATCTATAAATTATTCATTGTTTACTGATTATTGTACTACATTAGAAAAATGTGAAGTATATATAGACAATATAGATACTTGAATGTTAAACCCAATTCAGTTATTATCGGTAAGATCTGCCGTTCATCATTAAACACACATTTATCTGTAACCAGTTGATAAATATGTAAAACTTGTTCGTTTTATATTGGACACATAGAGGCGGTTTCAGAGTTAAAAGCATCAGTGACGGAAATGATGTCTGAGGCAATTTGTTTAGTGAAGCAGGATACGATCAGTTGCTGTGAACACCTGGTGTCATCTCTATTTCATTGTGATTATTAAACAAACTCAATGCTTATCATACAGTACCTACGGCGAGATACACAATCCGCTTCTCGCGATTCTTCTAGATGTGCGTAGCACTATTGTAACGTATCTGGGTGATAACAACTGCCTGATTGGAATCTTGAGCTGGTAATTTGTTTCATTCCCCAGACTTACATGAATATGCTTAATGCATGCATAGATTTGAGATGGGAATTATGGGTCTCGTTTCAGTGAAACGTTGAATATAAAGATTCTTTCACGGATGATGGAAAAACACGTTTGTTGGAGGACAACCTGGTATACAACTGTATATCAGAAGTCTCAGTTCTATGACCATTGCGATATTCAAGAGTGAGAGGGATAGCGAAATCCACGAATACTACTACAGATTATCCTGCCTAGTGTGTCGCGTTCTCAATGCCAAATGTTTCCAATTTTCTTGTTGCATATGCATGTGTTCGAGCTACATGCACTATGAACATCATATATATTTTAATATTTCGTTTTGAGTTTAAACTACAAACAACAATGTTTGGCAATGAACGAAATTTATTTTTGTGGCAAGAACATTTCTGAAGAAATAAAGCTCCCAGACACTTCATTTTGATAGTCGCGAAACACATGACCTCGGACAGCAGGTGCAAGGGGTTATTTACCATCGTCACTCGGATTCGGTTGTGGGCAGACACAGATTGTTCCCTCGGAACCAAACGCTCAAAGACACGGTTTTATACACATTTAATCAGGATAGAAGTAATAGTATATTTGCGAGGTTTGGAACGTGCTGAACGTTTATATGCCATCGGCATGTTGCAGGTGGGCACGTGTCAGAATATTGTTGAACCAACGGTGCATGTTTCTCAATCTGTCAACAGCAGATTGTGGGCAAAACCAACAAATACGTATCGCTGATGACGGACGTCGCTGTGGGCGCTCAAGGGCAACTACTGCAGCCCGCGATAGACAGCCCTGGGTAGATTAGCCAGAACGATGACATTACGAAAACGGTTGCAAATTTCCAATTAGACTGGTTGCAACAGGAAATTGGTGTAAGAGTACATGCCCAGACGGTTCGAAATCGTGTACATAGATGACACTTACGTGCTCGACGTCCACGTGTCATCCTACAACTTACTGCACGTCATTTGAATCAGAGGTGTCAGGGAAAGCCAGCACTGGGATAATCGTCGATAATGTAATGCTTTCTAACGAATGGAGCTCCCTGTCGACTACCATGACAGAAGGAATCGAGTTAGGAGACGGTCTAATGTGCCATTTATAGACTTAAACGATCTTTTTCGGGGTTGGTATGTGATAGGGTAGGAGTTAGCTCAATGATTGGCCAAACTGCGCTCAACATTGTCACAGATCACTGTTATTTGGACAAGATCTTTGCACCACTTTTGATATCATGTGCAAAAGTTGTTGCAGTTGGGCTGGTTTCATTTTTGATTGTGATAATGTACTTGCTCATCGTGCCAGGATTGTGACTCAGCACACAGTCCTTACTTGGGCACATATAGGAAATCACTGGCAGACGTATGCGACAACATTAACATCCACCCACCAACATCAATTACCTTCGTGCTGGTCTCCCTGATGAGTTCATCAAAATGTGTCAATGTGACATTAATCGACTCACCAGTAGCATACCTCGGCGATTTTGTAAATATCTGGCCAACAAACACAGTTTCACCAGTAATTAGAGACATAAGCTACAAACTGCCAATTTCGAATTTGACCTCCGACATCTTAACCGGCCTGACACGACACCATTCCACACCAACCATTAGAACGCATCAGATATGACGGTCTACTGCTCAGATAGGATCAGACCATTTCCATCTGCCCATACCATAGCGATCAGATGATGTCTTGATGAAACCCACTATCCCCTTCTTTCATGGCATAGTAGACCTGTATAGCTGACATCACTGAGGACTCATGACAACTTCAGAGATACATCGATTACTTCAGTACCGGGATTACGAGTGACATCCATGCCATGCGTTGAGACAGTCATGTGTGTCTGGCGGTTGCGTTTAACAGTCCAGTGACACGCTATTATGAGGTTTATCTTGTTAGTGTGTGTTGAACCATGGGTGAGAAAAAAAAAGGATCTTCTCGTGAAGTAGACCTTTGGGATTTCCATAAATTCTTTGATGTTCTTGTTTTATTGATTTAGGGGATTAAACGTCTGGGTGGTCAGAGGAAGCGTTTTTAGAGTACATTCAGAAAAACACCGACGCTGATTATCTCCAGTTGTCTGTTAAATGGTTCACAAGTTACGATCTAAGAGTTCAGCCCTGAATACACACGAGCAATGTTTAGTTCCCATCAGCAAACGAACAAATGGAATAAAATAATACATTGAAACATGAGATATAACAGTAATCAATATGCCATGATGCCAATTTTGGTGTTCACGCTTTAATAACTCCATCATCCCAGGGAGTCTTTAAGTGAGTAAAAATGATAATGTGAACTACATTTAAATCATTACAGTAATAGTAACAATAAACATTTGGCCTTCACGATAATATTGGTAACCGGTTATCAAAGGCACAATATCAGTAATAACCAAGATTTGGACACGTTTAGTAAAACATGTCTTGTAAGATTTGACCTCGGGTGTGCATGACTTGTGCACTTTAAACCTGGTTACGTACCGTTAAAACATGAGAGTATGGACATCAACAACCCTGCGTCGGAGAGGATACTATGATATGTTGTAAATTGCAATAACAACGTGTATGCAACTCCACCACATGTTCTTCTGTATGGTAGTAGATGAGCATTACGTTGTAATCATATGTCCTTTGTATTTCGAAAACGTTATGTTCCATCAAGATTTACGAATTGTCTGTATATCAATATATACAAGTACTCGTAGCTTCCCGAAAATATATTTTAATACAGGTCAAAGTTAACATCTAACACACCTTGGAAATCAAGCTGGAAATGATACTGTCTTGTGGGCATTTTGCCGATCATGTGAGAAATTTAAGCTTAAAAAGATATGTAAAAATACGCTAATAAAATTATTACATGTGCTAATGCTCTGTAGGTTACAAGCGGATTTGGTACATGAAAACTGAAATATTTAACGTATAGAGGTTCATGAAAAGAGACTAAGAATATGAATTTTATGATAAAGTATAGGTATATGTTTCCTTATCTTACTCTCACTCTGAGATATGTTCTTGCCAGACTCCTTTTAGAAATTATCATGCATCGGGTGAGTGAGTGGATTTTTTTTACGCCACTTTTAGCAATATTCCAGCAATATCACGGCGGGGAAAACCAGAAATGGGCTTCACACATTGTACCCAAGTGGGGAATCGAGACCGGGTCTTCGGCGTTGCGAGCGAACGCTTTAACCACTAGGCTACTCCGCCGCCCCTGTCATGTATCGAATGATCTCATCTTCATTCAGCTGAAAACAACATCCCCAGGGAATATAGCTTTATATATAACAAGATTGGAACACTCAATTTGTGTATTCGCGATGTATAATACACACACGTCATACCCTACGGCGGCGAATGTTGAAAGAGAGTAATTTCCTAGTTTCATTCTGTCTTACACGTGCGCCTGCTGATTACATCACATTGCTACCACTGTAGTGTATATAAGTCGGCATTATCCTGTCGTCATCACTGAGCTATCAGTGAGTTTCACAGTAAGGTTCTAAGCTCACACCGCCACAACCATCATGAAGGTTCTTCTCCTGCTGGCCGTTGGTATCGCTGCCTCCAGTGCCCGAGACTGTGGACACACGACAGCAAACCCTACTGCTGCCCCCACTACCGAAGCCCCCACTACTTTACAAACACCGACAACTTGGCCGGAAGGATCCTTTGCTCTTCCAAAACCCTTTGCTGGCTGTCCTGGTAGTGAGTGGAAGGAAGGGTCTTTCTATCAAGACACAGAAGATTATTACAACGGGAATGCCTGGAACACCACTAATATGAGCGGCATTAAGAAGAAAGACGGTTATTTGAATACTTACTGTGTCATGGATGACGCCACTGCTGGGTCTGGGGCCTGGCCTGCCGGTGCCTACTGCATCTTGAGGAAGAACGGAGTCTGTCCTGGGGGTTTTGAGGAAGGTTCCATCCTTTGGGATGATGAAAACAACTACAACATGAACTATGTCACAGAGCAGAGCACCCTCCCCGATGGTGACTTCAACAAGGACACTAAGCTGTTTTATTGCTGTCGTGAGGATGCCAATCCGGCCCAAGAGATAACTTTGCCAACATCTGCATCCTTCTACCTCCTGATGAAGTCAGGGACGTGTCAGAATGTCGCTGGGATGTCGGTGACAGTGGAGACGAAGTTTTGGGACGATGAAGACACCACCAACCAGAATGCTAGAGTGGGGTCAACTCCTTTCGAAAGCAGCGATCTTACCAACGTACTCATCAACTATTGTTACTACGCCTAACAGTCCAATGTAGTGTTTTCACATGACGGTATGCCGAAATAAAACAGAACATGCAAGGTTACTTTTATTTCTGTATTATTTTTCTTGTGAAATGTTATATGAGACGTGCATATATCTAATCGTGGTGTAGCCACCTCAGTGTCGTGATGTTATATATGTTGTACACGTGCGTATCGCAAACGAGTGAGTTTAGTTGAGCATCGATATACGGAATATTGATACGATGACATGTGTCAACCAAGTCAGCGAGCCTGACCACCCGATCCCGTTAGTCGCCTCTTACGACAAGCATGGGCTACTGAAAACAGTGTATCGCACACGAAATATCATATTAGTTTGCATAATGCGTGAAAACAAAGTGCACAATGCTTTGCGTACTGACAATAATGAAGTAAATACAACATATCACATGTGACTGCAATGCACAATGCAAAATGAATTCAGAGTGACAACAACGCAAAATGTACAACAATGCAGAATGCCATGAATACATATGATACACAATTGTACGGGTACCCTCAAAAATGTATAAAACAATACATTCATTCAATGCATAATGCAAACCGTTCTGAAAGCAATTCGGCTCATGTATACGACAATGCCAGAAGTTCAAGAACTTCCAACGCACTTGGAACATGTATGAATATATTTCAAGTGTTTCCCTATTTTAACGAAAAAGAAGGAAGAGTGAGTGAATGAGTGATTGAGTGAGCGAGTATGGTTTTACGCCGCTTTAGCAATATTGCTGTAATATCACGGGGACACCAGAATGGGCTTCTAACATTATACCCATGTGAGGAATCGAACGAGCGGACGTAACGAGCGTAACGAGCGGATGCTTTAACCATTAGGCTACCCCACCGCCCAAAAAGAAGGAAGAAGACGTGTTTGAATGTTTTTGTAATGTTTTTTTTGTTTTGTATATAGTCTGAAGCAATGTTACAGGAAAATCCATTCGGACGCCGCAGACATTAGGCATCCCACACGGTACCATGTAGGGAGCTAAACATGGATCCAGGGGTTGGGAAGCTGTCTCTTTAATCAGTGAGTGTTTCCTAACCGTTGACTGACGTCCTTTCATCGAAGCTGATCCCTGTGGGACTTATATCATTTATGTTAGATAATGTACAGTTAGTTGTTCATAGTATCTATTTTTTCTTGCGTATTTGAACCTCAGATTGTGTAATGCCTACAAATACTTATGTTCTTTTTATTCGTGTGTGTTGTATTATGAAAACCAGTAGAGTTTAGCCATATTCAATCACATTGTCAAAAAATAAAGGTAGTTGCTTCCACCAGAATTGTCACGGGCACAGGGTTCTAAACTAACCCTGTAACTTGGTGCATAATAAATTGTAGTATTGGACAAATATATTCCACCATGAGGAGTGATAAAGAACTGATAATGGGTTACTCGTATGAAAGTGCTCCACCAGTGGGCTTTAATCCTGATAACTGACAGCAGAAAAGATAAAATTAATCTTTCGTGTTGGTATTTTCTTGAGCAATTACGACCGGAAGGACTGGTGACCTATTTCAGTGTAACCCTAAAACTTATATCAAAATGTGATAGCTCGCTTTACATGTCTGCCTGTGTAAAAAATATATTCTTTATGTGACTGATCAGGTTCTTCCGCAGTCCAACAAGCTACACTTTGGGGTTCGTCAAACTACTTCATATCCTCAAAAGCATGATTAAAGCCTTAATCAAGTCACAACATTGAGGTCGAGTCAGTGTTCGATTTGTTGAAAGTTTAAATACTTTGGCCATCCATTCTGTAGAACACCGTATTGAAGCCCTCGATATTCATTCATCAGAAATTCGTTCACATTGGTTATTTGATCGTGAAGGCTGATTCAAGTACATCACTTAAGAAACTGCAATCTCTGTCGTTGGTGGTCGTAATGGATTTCTTAGTTGGCATTTCGGACTTGCTAGTAGATGGAACTATTTGATTATTATTTATTATATAAGGATTGGATAAATGAAACCACTTTAGGTATATTATGAAAGTCTAATTTCACACGTTAAGGAACTGGTTTTCTTAATAAAAATTGAAAATATTTTAACTTACCTTGACATCGACAATGTGAATTTATGTTATGCTTCTTCGTCCGTCGTGCTCCCCATCAACTTATCAGTCCACTGACACTGAAACTTTAAAAATCTCCAGATCTGCTGAACATTTAATCAGTCTTACTTTAATTCATTTCCATTATTAAGTCTTCATGCTCAAGTAAACATTTCATGTAACAAATGTGTTTTAGTGAAATATATTACATTCGTCCCAATCCCATCTAAAAGTCATTTGCAATAGTATTCAAATCTATAACCAATCTGTCCTCACTTGAATACGATTTGGTTGTCTTTGTCAAATTTCGTGTGAACATAGCTGGCGAAGGTCAAAACAGCGAGTATATATCTCCATTAAATGCTATGTTGAAGCTGTCATGTGCTATATTCATATCCATAGAGCTGAGCAAGGCACTATCAGATTAACGAAAATTCAATGTTAGTATAAATGCCCAACAATGATATAATAATGAATAATTATAATGGACATTTGTTATGCGCCATAATCCAGAAATGATAGTGCAAGTCAAATTTGGGAATTGCGTTTTCACGGATATTGAAATGTCCACCACAATTTAAAATCTGTCATAAACTAGCTATCTTTCCCTTATAAGAAACAACAAAGCCCTTTCTATATCTCTAAGAAATCCTCGCTAAAGACAAAGTCGATTGTATTATATCATGAGTATTTGTTTGTTTGCATTCTGCAGTGTTAAAGCAGTATTAAGGTGAGGTGAAATTGGGTTTACGTCGTGCTTGAGAATATGTCGCTCATATGACGACGTGCATGCGTGTGTATGTGTATGTGCGGCTGCTTTTACTAGCCCAGACTGAAACTGGTTTTATAGTGCTAGCCCACTGAGATACCATGCCGCAGTGAAGCATGAATACCCCACTCAAACACATTATACTGACTCCGAGCCGACCAGTCCTTGTTGTACAAGTACAACGTCTTTTGGTATGACGCGGTCGGGGATCGAACCCGCGACTTTCCGTTCTCCGGGCGGACGCTCTAACCACTACACCACGGAGGTGGTCAAAGCAGTATTAAAAAAGGCGTAATTATTTTCACTGTTAAGATATCCTCGATCTTCAGATCCTTCTTCCTTCTTAGCTTGGCAGCTTCATCAAAATGAACATCCTAATAAAAGGATCTGTAAATTAAGCACTGCGTGTACATTGTTTAAGTGCATACTTGAGCCATGGTTTTCTTACACTATTTTTCAAACGTTTGCAAAATGGGTATTTCTGTATATATTTTGAATGTTGGATTGTAAGAAATGTTAATCAACTGAAATACAAGAATCTGAAAATGACCATATTTGAACTGCTGTCTGACAGTTACATCTCGATGAGATTGTCCACTTCTAAAGGCTTAATCTTGTATTATCACTAAAACACAAGATGCAAGTAAATACTTGACAGTGATCTGACTACAATTCTGGAAGCGGTCAAGATTGTATATATGTTGTATGTTGTTATATATGTTGTATATGATTTAATTTCAGAAAGTGCTTCCTTAATCTATTTACGCTCAATTTTATATTCATTTATTCTGATGAAATAACATATTGCACAGAACAGATGTTTGTAATCTTTAACTGTTTTATGCTATATTTACAATATATACCACATCTTGTCATAAACAATTTAAAGCGAATCCGATTATTGTAAACGGCTAACGATGCTGTCCCACTGAATTCTGATAATTGTTCATCCAATTCTCCAGTTGTCAGAATCTAGCCCTATTCCCAAAAGAGGAAATAGATAGATATGAGTGTCTGTATACATGCATTATTGTTCGTTTGCCTGCTTATACAGCAACACATTATTGCATAACTAAACGATCCGGAACTTAAAGGTTCTGACCAAACTTGTCTCTACCATACTCACATAATACAGCCTCGTTAAATGTTGTACCACTGAATGGATGTGTTTCAGTATTTGGTTATCAGATTCTTCTGTAAAAATAGAATCTACGATATAAAGTCAACCGTGTATGCTATATATCAGAACTACGTTAGTTGAGTGAACACTGTCATGCATGTGTGCTAAATGCTAGTAACACTACGTCATGACGTCATGAAGTACAAGTGTATGACAGTAACTAAGTTCTGTGGTTGTTATCAATACTACATCATAGAGGCAAGAACATCATACAAGATCAAAATTACATTATACCGTTTTTCATGCCATCACAATCTGACGAACAGTATTGCAAGTGAAAATGAATAGATAAACCAACAAAATGTATTATTGCTAATCAAAATTGCATATGAGTTAACCATGCTATCCATCTGCATTGTGATACCGAACTATCCAACTATCCAACTACTTTATACAACCGTAGATGACAGCATACAAAGGGAGAGTGCATATAACTTTGACCATTTGGAAAATGGTTCCCGTTTATCATCCGAGCGTTCCGTTTGTGCACACTGTCTACGTCCCTCACTATTATATTATTGTGAGAATATAGAGGTACATTTTGGGCAGCCGTTTCTACATCTATCATATGTTTCGAAAAATCTAGGATATATTTGCATCCCTTTTATCATTATTCGAGGTATTTTGAGTGCGGGATCAACAACAGTTAACTTCACACATTGAATCTACCTTTGAATCAATCTCTAGCGGCAATGACAAAATGTGTTTCCAACCAAGCCACTCTGTTTCCGGTACTGTAACCGACTGTTCCCGCTGCATCTCCCCAAGCGTGTACCCTCAGAGGCAGCTCAATTGGATTGAATTTCCTTGGGAGTTTGTTCAGGGACTTTAAATGTTTAGAGAGGTTATCTAAATTAAATCTCTCTAAGAAGTTTAAAGGTTTCTCAGATCCATTACGGTAAAAACATAAATTACCTAGCCAAACAAAAAACTGCCACAATTCCCTCTAATTTATATTGGTAATGCATTTTAATGCTTA